AGGTTAACGGTTGGACTCGATGATCTTAAAGGTCTTTTCCAACCAAAGTGATTCTATGATTCTATTCTATGATTCTATGAATGGGGGAATAATGTTGGTCTTTTTAATTAAACATGTACAGAGTTGGAACACTTCAAAAATTAATAAAACCAATGTCTTCAATGTTTTTTTGCCACTTTCTGGAGAATACTACTTCAAATTTTGCTTGCAGCATCCTACGTTACTAGAATCAAGCCTGCTTTCTTTCAAAACTTCAAGTACTTTCTTGAGTTATGGGGGAAACACAACAACAGAAATATTTTTTCTGATGCAATTAGCTTATGTTTTGGGTTTATACTTTCAACTGTGGATGTTACCTTGAAGACCATAAATCTTACCAGCCCCAAATTATAAGTAAATTAACAGCCACAATTTAGTACAGATTCAATGACATATTGCTAATAAAACAGCTAAAAAAATATACCACAAAATGATTGGATTGCAGAGGTATGAGTGGATTTCAGAGAGACAATTGTGCTGTGGAGGTCAGGTGTGAATTTCCTTGTTGGTCTTCTGAATGGCTCCTCTAGGAGCCATGCAAGATGCTGATCCAAACCAAGACCTCCATAGATGGTCTGATCCTTCTGAAAAAAATCCTTTCAAGATAGAGCCCTGGCCATTTTATAACAGGAAACTGAATTCTCTCATCATTCAAAGCTGACTTGTCTCCTGACGCTGAGGGTGAAGGGACTATTACTTTCTGTGACTCAGGAATTTGAATGGCTTACATGTAAGAGACGGTAAAACATCACTGCAGATAGCTCTAAAACGCCAGTAAAATAATATATAGTCTCTCTTTTTTGTCTGGCAAAAGTATGATAAGAAGTTCCCAGCTTCTCCATCTCCTTTATGGCAGGGAGTATCCCTACACAGTCCTCAAGAATGATTTCAATACATGCACATTTCAAATCTTCCCAAATGCTAGACCATAAAGCTAATTGCTTTTTTTGTGTGGCTGAGATTACACTGGAGAATCACACTTTAATTTAAATTCCCTAGCCTTATTTATGCTGCCATCAAAAGCATAACAGGGGCAATCTTCTTTTTTTAAATTGCTTGCTTGCTTTTTTTTTTTTTTTTAAATAAAATCATCCTTTCATAGTAGGTTTTTTTAACATGTTATGTAACTGAGTATAATGAAACAACCACTCTGAATGAACCTGTCTCTTGCAAATAAACAATTGTGTTTTAAATTTTTTGTGCAGAATAATTTTGCTATACCACATAAAACATACAGGGGAAAAAAAATGTTCTTCCCCCCTTTATTTTTGTTTTTTAGGAATTATGATTAAAATTATTAAAATAATAAAAATGACGCTATTTTGAAAACACAAACTATTATTACGAATAACACACAGACTACTTGTTGTGCATTAAATAAAAAAATAACTTTAAAGAACTTAATCTCTATGTTGTTATCTTTTGCTAAATCCATCACAAGGAGTCCACACTTGTTTCTCTTATGCAATTAAAAGCTTCCAAAGAGGTCACCAAATATTACACAAGGAATGAAGGACACAGCCTTTCCTGACTAATTAAAAATTCACAATGGGTGTCCCAGGCATTGCCAAAGTTTGGTGTGATTTTGCACTCGAGGCATTACAGTTGTCTACCACACAAATTTTGTATTTATGAATCATTTCAGCCATCCTGTCCCCACTCTCAATTTTGAAAATGCCTGAGCTTATTTTATAGTATCTTAGTTAAATCTTGTGCTCAGTCTGAGATTGGTGTCTGGTACTCACAGGCAGCGATTCAGACTTCATAGATTAGAATTTTCTCTGCATAATACCTTGAATTATAGTTGTTATTAAAAAAAATAAAATCAAAGTATACAGAAAAAAACTGCCTTACCTTCACCAGTTCCGTATAACCAGTTTCCCTTGCTGTCCACCAAGGCTGAGCTTTAAGTCCCTTGACATTGTAGAGGGAGCGCTGCCAAACCGATGCAAAATGACCTCGTTGGTATCCAAGTTCATACCACTTGTATGCCTAAAAGATTGCAGTTATTAACAACCACATTCGTATCAGCCAAGCCCCCACAGAAAAGAAGTAATTTATGCTTTTTTGATAAGGTAACAGACTGTCTCTTTGGGTGCCAGGGTTATTTTTCTGATGTAATGAACACTTCAAGGAAAAAAACCCAAACAAACTCAAAAACCCCAACTAACAATCCCAAAATAGATCAGTTGGCCAAGGCTGTCCAGTTCAACATCAGCAAAATAGGATAATCTTCTCACAACCATTCACATCCAATATGGGTCAGTAATCTAGGCACTGTCCTTGTCTTGGGAAATCCAACTGTTTGTCATCTTGGTCAACCTTGTCTTTGTCTTTTATTTCTCTACCTATGAATTAAAGATGACTGCCTTCTGCTGCCAATGGAGATGCTGTGATGATGAAAACAGTGCTGACTTTATGGATCTAAATTGTTACATAATTATCTAATACGTATACGCACTTGAATTTCTTCAAATATTTGTTGCCACACCAGAATTCAGCTGATGCTACTAATTTTTCTAACCCATTCTCTTTATTTCACATGGTAGAAACCTACTGAGGCTAATAGCAGACCTTTACTTGCCTTACTCTGCCTTTACACAACTTGCTTTAGCACTGTATAGCACCAAAACAAGGTCCTGCAAAGGAAGAAAATGGCATGCTTGGAAAAAAAGATCCAGCATGAGTAGCACTGTGATGAACCATATACGGAGTAGGTTACATAGGGCTGCATCCTTTCTGTCTAGCATTGCTGCTACAGCTGCAATATTTTAGTGAATACAAAAAAAACCCCCAAACCCCTGGATATGACCAGACAGCTAAGTAGGGAGATATGAGGTAAGAAGTCCAGAGCAGAGGGACTGAAGCAGGCAACAGTCCCTGACTTGAACAGAAACTGTCTAAAAACCTCTTTACTTGGAGTCATGCACAGAGTCCGTCTGCAGCTACACCACTTGAAATTTGCTCCCTCCCAAGCCTACCACCTAGCCAATTCACCTCCGCCTAAACGTCACTCATCCAAACTTGGACCATGTTCTCACACTCCTTCACCCAATCTGATATTTATTCTTACCTCACTCTCTGTAAATCAGCCTATAATTTCACCCTGTGCTTCCAGTAAATAATGCTGCCCCCCACAGTTATCTGCCTTCCTTGGCTGTATCCACCTCCTCGCCAAGTTCTTCTCAAAAAACCAAACCCTCCACTTTTCTTTCCAGCAGGAGTACAGAAAATCTGGTCTGCTGGTTTTGTTTGGGATACAGCTGATTTTCTTCATAGCAGCTACTATGGGGCTATGTTTTGGATTTGTGCTGGAAACAGGATTGATAACACAGGGATGTTGTTGTTATTGCTGAGCAGTGCTTGCACAGAGTCAAGGTCTCTTCTGCTTCTCACCCCACCCCACCAGTGAGTGGGCTGGGGGTGCACAAGAAATTGGGAGGGGACGCAGCTGAGACAGCTGACCCCAACCAACCAAAGGGATATTCCATGCCATGTCATGTCGCGTTCAGCAACAGAAAGCTGGGTGAAGAAGAAGGACATGGGGGACGTTCGGAGTGATGGCGTTTGTGTTCCCAAGTCACCGTTACGCGTGATGGAGCCCTGCTTTCCTGGGGATGGCTGAACACTTGCCTGCCCATGGGAAGTAGGGAATGAATTCCTTGTTTTGCTTTGCTTGCGTGCTCAGCTTTTTGCTTTACCTATTAAACTGTCTTTATCTCAACCCACGAGTCTTCTCACAGCGAGCAGCTGTGTGGGGCTGAGTTGCTGGCTGGGGTTAAACCATGACATCTGGACAAGATTAACACTGTCCCCAGTAGCATTCTGGTACGGTAGTTTCCCTGCATGACTAACTATTTTAATTGCTATTTGTTTTTCAAAGAGATTAATTTCTCCTATTCTAACTCAGGAGCGTATGACAGTTGTCCATTAATATACCCACATTTGACATGAAGGCTAAACCAAAATACTTACTGAGAAAAAAACCCACAGTACTAACTCTTAAGTTAAAGAAGAATCATCTTATATATGGGGTCTAATGGAAAGCAAAACATACAATCAAGTAAACACATCTCTAGGAGAACAATTCATGTCAGTTTGTTGCTTATGTTTACCTTGAAGCCAGTAAACTAGAAGGAAAAAACAAAACTGTTTTGGATATAAATCAGCCATGAGAACAGTGTGTGACTTAGTAAGACTAAGTGTTAGCAGTCAGTTAGTCAAGAAAACAAAAAGCTATTGGAAATTCTTCATGTAATGGATTATTTCTAAAAATTTCCAGGTGTCATCTTAGAGATCTTTTATTTCAGATATAAGGTAAGAAATGACTTTGGGTGGGTTTGTCTTCAAATTTTTATATGTCTCTCTATTGTAACCATAGATTATTTATTAAGAGTCTGTAAATTTTCATCAATCTTTTAAAAAATGTAGTACTCTGGTCTTTATAACTTCCTTGAAGTATGGAGGAAAGGCCACAACAGAATGTTGCCTTACAGTATTTATCTGAAGTACAGAAAAACACACTGTGGATTATCAGAATAAAAGCACACCATATCTAAGCTTTCATCTTTTTTTCTTGAGAGAAGCTTTGTAAAAATGTGTATGGATAAAAAAAAAAAAAAAAAAAAAAGTATTACCTTTGGGTAATAGACAGTATATCTTTAAATTTTTATGTCGGTTAAATCTCTGAACTGTAAGCATTATGATTTATATCGTATGCTCCCCAAGGTGTAAGTTGTAATAGCAGTGGGATATCGCTAGATCGTTCACACTGACTGCCTGCATTCATTTGCAATGTCTGAAGTTAGCCCAAATGGTAAGGGGAATGGATTACTTGTTTCAGCCACTGACTGATGAGTATGAATGTTGCTGCTCTTTAAGATCCATCAGCTATAATCACGATGTATAATACTGTTAATCCTTATCTATTAGAGGCATTGCGCTATGAGGTTGCCTTTGACAGCATGCAGTAGGGTTAGGTTGCCCCGCTCATCGTTTCCAGTCCTGAGTTTCCATGAGAAACCTTTTTTTTCACATGCAGATCTTGGCAGTGGGAAGACTAAATAATGTCCGCTGTACTATTCAGGACATCTACAGCAGTATAGCTTCCTTTCGAGGGAAGTAGTTGTTTGAGATGCACTCAGTTTATAAATTCTGTGTGAACAGCACTTCGTTCTATAATACCTTCCACAGTTCTAATTTATCTTTTTTTTAAGTCAGTTTGGCATTTTATCAAGTAATAGTTGGAAAGGGCATACTCAACACTGTTTCCTTAACCCTTACCAGGACCACATTCATAATTCCTAATTTAGCTCTACCTTCAACAAACCTTCAGCAATAGCAATTTCACATGTTCTTTAAATATTGATCTGTTTCCTTGATTAAATCTTGAAGTTCAGCAAGTCTAGCAAGGTCAGTGAGAAAAATTTAGCTTAACGGTGGACTTTCCACTGATGAATTTAAAAGTCTTTTCTATGCCAAGAAGTTCATTTGTCATTGATTAAAATTTCTTCTACAGCAGATTTGACCATTAATTCCATAAACATTAACACATGATTATCCTGGGGATTGGGATGATATACATTAATTACACCTTTGTGGTTTCTTTAGTCAAACATTGTAATGGGATGCTCTAGGCTCAATCATTCAACCCAGAATATACCATGGAAGCATACAGGGACTTCCTTTTCGGTTTTCTTTTGAGAGAAGGACAGACATACAGAGAGAGTCAGACAGAGAGACAGCGCGTGCAGAAGCAGACGCTGTGTGTGTTTGTGCATGCGCACGTGTGTGTGTGTTTATGTATACAATGAGGCCAACTAATTCTCACTTATAAATGCACTCTTAAACTAAAAAAAAAAACTTCATTGGAAGAATATTTTCTTGTACCTTCAGAGAAGGCAATCTAACTTTAAAAAGAGAGATGATATTACATTTCAATGTACGTATGAGGTATTGCAATAAAAGTTCCATGTTTTATAGAAAAAGAGAATTAACCTGATGAACTAGGCCTAAGAAAGATAACTAACATAGGTTTCATTACAGTCCACTTGTCTATAGCTCATATTGGAGAACTGCCTACCAACTGGGCTAAGATACTTAAGAGGTCAGCATTCTTGGCAGTATTTATGTATCAATATTTCAGACCTATTATTACAGAACCGATTAAAAAGCAGTTCCACTATGCTTTTGTGTTCTTTTCACATTTCCCATCCAGGAACCTGAGTAGGGTTTTTTGGTTTGTTTTTATGTTTGTTTGTTTTTAAATTCATGCCCATAGTAAAATTCATTACTAGTAAGATTCTTCAACAAAAGCCCTTTGCTCCCCTACCATGGCAATAGTGCTAATTCACACCAATTTAAATTTAAATTTGGCTTTTACATTAAATTTGGTTTTAAATTAACACATTGGAAACTTTTATGGTTTTCAGTCACATATGTTTGCTTTTGGGCATGCAACAGATTTGTTGCACAAATCTCTGCTGTTTTGATCTGTTTGCTACTTTAATTATTTAACAAATACCGTAACTCAGCCCACATATTCAGTCCTCTCACGGGCTTGTTTTACCACATTGGTGCTCAAGGTCATTTTGGGGAAGAAGGGAGGTTTACAAAACACTGTTATATCAGAGCTATGAGAGAACTTCTGTACAGTGATATGCAGGTAATTGTTTTCTGAAACTCTGGTTAAAAATCTTTGTTGTAAGTGGTAGAAGCAGAAAAGAGGTTTTAAAAACACCTTCACTGAATTTTTGAAAAAATGTTTTTTCCCTGTGTTCAAACTGCCCCATGCAAGCTTCAAAAGTTTAGATTCCTTCTAAAGCAAGGAATGCTAGCAGACTGTATTGTCACACCAATGGCAGATTTTTTGCTGTTGCTCATCTTGACCTCTACACAAATATGCTGGATTGTTATTACAATAGGACTACTCATGTTTTCAACACTGAACCCATGCTTAAAAGTTTTTCTGGATTCTGCAGTCCATCAGAGGTTTAGACTTTAAAGCAAGAATATGTTAAACGCGTACCTCTTTGTCTCCCATTCTCTGCAAGGCATCACCCAGATGAAAATAAAAGCGTCCATCATTTGTACCGGGGTCACCAGACTCCAGTCCTTCCTAAGAAAAAAAAACCAAAGAACCATGTATAAGAGAACCTTCAATACATCTTCTAAAACTGTTCATTCGATTGCTGTAAATAGGCTGTCAATTCTATGCAAGATACAGGCGATGAAACTGGCTATAAAATATAACCATCGTGGCATCATGGAAACCTGGAACTTAGGTTGAATGAATACAATACTTCAGTAAAAAAACATTGAGAAATATTATCAGTTTTCCAAATGCCATAGCCTCTCCCCTCAGTCCTTCCAAGACAGAGTGTATTTAGAGACAGACACTTGCCCCTGACCCTATATATATATACACACAAGCATTTTAGAAAAGTGGATTAAGGTTTTAATTTGTGGTATCTCTTCCCAAACACTCAGAAGCATACACAAGCCCTCTCTGGATTTTTCAAGAACCTTAAGTTTGCAGCATATTGTCAAACTCAAACCAATTTGAGACTCACAGCTGTGTTCTTAGGGTTAACCACTAGTAAAACAAATACTTGAAGTTTAAAAATTGATGAGCCTCAGCGTAACAAGCTTGTTCCAGTTCATAGGCAGTGATACAACAATATAGCTCCAACATAGCTTAAACTGTGATTTGTGATTAGTATGCTTCTACCTTGACATGTTTTATACATTCCAATTTTATTTTTATAGGTAGAATATTTACTGCAGGTGAGAAAACAAAAATACCTTTAGATAGGGTATGCTCTCTGCTATCTTGTTTTCTGCCTTCAGGATGAAGCCGTAATGTACTTTGGCAAAGCCGTCATTTGGAGCCAGGCTTAGAACCTGTTTGGGAGCAAATGAATTAAATACTCATGTATTTATCTATGCAAATTAACAAACCTGTGGACATATTACTATTAAGTGATGCAATGACATTTTCTTCCATCGCTGGCTCTCAGATAAATTCTTCACCTGGCTGTACTTTCTTTTTCCCATTCACTTTTGTGCTTCTCCAGAAAAACCTATTACAAGTCAAACTTTAAAGTCTCAGAAGTAAAATTATTCCAACTTCAATCTCTGAATTGCATTATTTTTTTGTTGTCTGTCTTTCTCCACCCTTGAGCTACAGCATGCTACATTACAGAATTAACACTGTTCATTGACACTTAAGTTACCCATCCCAGGTTTGACTAATCTGAAAGAAAGCAGCTGCTTTTGAACAAGCCTACAGCACAGTCACAGGAAATGTAGTGTAGAAATATACCTGAAATAGTTTAAAATTAGATAGGTTTATACCAGTGGCAAACTAGTCTTGGCAAGAGAAAAGACACTACGGTGTGAAGCACCGAGAGTACAGTTCAGGAGGATGCTGTAAAATAACAGTTGCACCACGTGATGGGACTGCACAAACCCTGGAAACACAAAGGGCATTCTCAGCACGACAGTGGACTGGAGCGCTCTCTGGAAGAGCTTACATTTGCTTGGCTAAGAGAAAGCTATCAGATGGTAATGACAGGCCTAATGCAGTAGTGATTCAATGTGCTTTCACACTAGAAGGTGATGGATAAGTTACTCTTGGATAGTTGTGTGCTGCACTCTTTGACCAACACCAAGACCTAGCATGCTGAATTAAGCTAAAATCTTTTGAACGAGATTCAGATAATGACTGAGTCATAACCTGACTTAATTTTGCAGGAAAGGAAAACCCATAGGCAAATATCCAGAATGGGTATTTCATGGGGACTGTACAAGAGAAAGATTTGTGAGCACAGGGACAGCTGTAGGAACGATTGCTGTATGGGGGAGCGTTTCAAGGAAAGGAGGTGTGAAGCTGGCTCGCCTGAGTTCTGAAACAGGTACCTCTAACAGTACTGAGATAACTGAAGCGCATTTGGTCTGCCTCAGCCAAGAGGAAAATTAGAGAATCTATTTTGCAGCTCCATGTATGTATATATTCAATATCTTTTGTAGCTCTATGCGATATCAATTACATTGTCAAGTTAATCTGTTGTTACACCTCTTCCCTCCTTAAAATAAGGGTGGACAGTCTTACAAGGACAGATCCTCAGTCTACGAGGATCACCACAAGTGCCTGGGAGTCAATGGAATTACAGAGGCTGACACCTGCTGAATGTCTAGCACAGTCACTAAATACAAAACAATGGACAGATGAGCAATTTCTCTTCCCTAAATCCATTTTTGAAGCTACTAAACTTATGCCATGGATAAAATGTCTGCATATATCATAGCCTTTCCCCCTGCCTTTTCCAGTCACTGTCTAACCTAATTTTGCAATCAGAATAATTACAAGCAAAACCATAACAAGCCCTCTGGGCCAATTTCTCTGCTTTCTCAAACCTTATTACATACAAACTACATCTGAGCAAAACCAAAATCAGTGCAATGTGGGTATAAAAAGTTATGAGCTAAAAAGAGCAGCGTTTCACTTCTTTTTACAGAAAATAGCTACTATGAAGGAACAATCAATTTGAGAATCTGAAGTCCATAATATGACACATTATTAACAGAAAGTGAACTTGTCGATTCTTAGTAAGGATGAGCTTGATCCCTAGTATAAGAATATGCTACCACCTTATGCAACATGCTTTTTGACTACAGCATTCTGTGTATAATCATTTTGATCCCAGAATCTGTACCTGCAGGGTAAAATAAAATGACTGACAGAAATATTTATTAGCCATATAATTTCGTTACAGTTCCTTTAACTATACGATAAAGCTACCTGATTAGTTAAGACAGAATAGAATTTTCTGTATTACAGTTCATTTGAACTATGCTGAGTTGCATTAAGGCATGATCTACATTCGGAGCCCCTAAAGAGAAGCGAAGTGATACAATCAGCAGAAATTACACTGGAAGTATTTAATGTAAATTGTATTACTCTGTTGCTGTTGCTGTGTGCAATATTAATTATGTTTAGAAATAAGTTTTACTAAACTGCTCATAGCCCATTAAATATTAATCACGAATATAGAAATTAACCTCTGGGGCTATCAATAGCTAATTAGCCAGGGCAGAGTACTGTGTTAATGTGGATATTCTGCTTTTGGTACCTGAGATAGCTCAATCAGAGCTGGCTTTATGTGTGTCTGTATAATGCTGCACTAAGCCATATAGACAGGCAGAAAAAGTGCTATTAGCAGAGTAACTGGTCTTATAAAGTTCTCTTCCACTATATTTCATCATAATCTGTAGATCTTTGAAAACAAAAATAGCTCCAAAATCTACTAGGACTACTTTTAGTGTTATGTTTCCATGTCCCCAAGTGTAATGTTCAAAAGAAAATGCTTTGATATTAGAGACAAAACTGAAATCCTCTCCAACTGGACACCATTTTCCATTTGTGGTTCAGCCCAACGTCTGGCAAATGCATACTAGAAAAGTGTTATTTTGTGTCAGTTAGACTATGCCACACTACAGCTGTAAGTACAAAACTCTTGATCTGACGTTCAGTGTTTATACACATAGCTTCTGTAGCTAAAAGAAGAAATATATCACATTTCAGACTTTTGAAATAAAAATGTGAGTATAGCACTTCAACAGCTGCTCAGACATAACAAATTTGGAATGGAAAATGAGAACTGAATGAAAAATAAGCAAACTGGCTATTAAATGTAAAGCAGAAAGTTTTCATTCACTAGGATTCCTTGGGCATCTATTCAATTCCTTGGAGAGGACACCAGCGACAGTTAGTCTGGTCTGAAATGGTATATACTGTAATCCCAACGTAGGGGACAGTGCCTGTGAAGGGTCCAGCTGGTTGCGTGTGCTCGGCCCATGCCTAACACAGACTGATAACACCGAATTAAGATCAAAACGTTATAGCAGGAAGCAAAGGAGGACATGGGCACCTTTTGCCCAAGAACCTAGCAGATTCCCAGGACGTGGGAAATTTGGAGTCTAGATTCTCCTGCACAGAAGAGTGTTCAACTACTTGGGAACTTGCCTGAGGAGCAGAAACAAGTACCACATATGGAAGAAGTTACACAACCACAAAGAAAAGAATGGGATCCAGAGGGGAATCAGCAAGAAGCTGAGCTCTTAGTCGAACAAGGAGTATGTTCTCTTGAGGACGAGTCCTGAGCTCTGTTGTCTCTTCCTAGGATGCCAATGCCTTCTGCATTAGAAAGGACTTAAAATAGACGAACAACCTTACAGTGGGAACCAGAACTCAGGATTCATAAACATTGGAGGCATTTACTGTGCAGCGCCAAGTTCATGCTCTTGTCTGTGCTGTCTTAGGTTTTCAGTCAAATGACTAATTTGTCCTACACTAGCAGGGAGGAGAATTTAATTATGCTACAGAAGTTCCCCAGGTTTCTCAAAAATCATAGGAAGAGAACGATGTCTCCTGAAGGCTCCCAGAACCACTCTTTTCACAGTTTGCCCCTCTCTTTATTGACTATACACAGAGTCTGAGCACCTATGGTAGGAGCTCCAAACCATATGCCAATCACTTTCGAAATATGCATTGCAACAGCTGAGCGAAGCACTCAAGAGAAGACCATATGGCCCCACAGCAATCTGCCCAAAACCATGTAAGAAGCCTTCAGTATAACCAAAAATAAAAGCAGGTATACCTGAGCTTCTGCCTGTTTCTTTGGCTATATTTCCTTTCTTAAAATTATTTATGTAAATTTATCCTGAATTACAACAAAGAAAAAATTATATTAATATGTTGGAATTCAATGTGAAGAATAGCCAAAATATAGACAAAACCCATATGATTTTTAAAAAGAATAAATCCATCTCCTTTTAAAAGGTATTTATTTGTTGCTCTTTTACAAGGGCAGAACATCGCTATCTATTTCAGTGTTTAGTGAACTGCAAAACAGAGCAATTGTACTGGATAGTCTATGGAAGCATGGAAAGCAATATATTGAAAGCAGACCTGTTCTTATTTTGCATGTCTGCTCTTAACCAGAGCAGTATACACTTCTTCTGAAGTATATCAAACTCAATATCAAAGTAATTACATAGCAAACTCATTATCTGCTTCCATTTATAAAAAAATCCTGTAATTATTGAGGTTGAGAAATTCTAACACCTGTATTGTTTGCAGCACCATACTAAAAAATTGCAAAGAAAGATCTTGCCCAAAAGGACTACGGTTTTGTTTTTTCAAGTTCCTTGCATCCTGCAAAGCCAGTTCAGTTAATATATTCTATCTTTAAAAGCTGATGTTTCTAATCCTCTGAGATATTTTGACAGCAGACCAAAAATTATTGAACACAAATGTTTTATGGAGGGATCCAGAAAGCAGCCAAAGTAGCAAAGCAAACATTATTCTGGCAACATCTGAGACTGCCAGAGGACCTTGAGGGGAAAAAAAAAAAAAAAAAAAAAAAAAAGAAAAGCTATTATCAGGTTTTGGCTCCTGATTCCAACCCTGTGGTTGAACGTCCTCCTTCTCTGTGAGAAACCACCTGAGATGAGAATCCCCTCAGACTCCCAGATGTGGGGGACGGAAAACTGGGCCTTTATTCTCAGGAGGTGGTACTAATCATGCTGACTTGTCCTCAGTCTGCATAACCAGCCAATTACCGTACTATGCCTGTACTAAACAAGCACTGCAACAAGCGTGCCAACAACAACAAGACCATCTCCGATCAGGTGCCGGCAGCTTGTGCTCTACCCGTGACATCAAGCTCCACATCTGTCAGAGAGTTTCCAGATGTTAATGGGTTTTCTAGATCATGGGAGCAAAGTGGCCCTTCCTGGCAGTGAACTTTCCCCAGCCTGATAACTACAGTATAAGACAGGAATATAAATCTAATGAACTGTCCACACTACAAGTGTCATGAAAAAAACCCAGAATTTAGGCTGCCTACAAAAATAATGAAAAAACAAAGGTTAAATAGCTGTGTGAGTACTGAGCTACTTGGTCACATGGTTAGAGATGGTGTTCCTGTAAAGAAACTTCTGCTTTCCAAGTCTTGCAGATTAGACTTTTTTTTATACTATGCATTACACCTGTATTTGTTGTCAATATATTCCAAACCTGGCTACCAGAAGGTGTAAGAAAACAGATATTATTAACCATATGAAAAACATCTGCATTTCTCTGTCTTTGAAGAAAAACACTTAGCATGACCGTATCAAGAAATCTGGATTAAAATTAGAAGATAATTAAGAACTGCACTAGAAAAAAAATCGTACCTATATTAATCCTTCAAAACCAGACACGCAAAATGTTTAGCAACTAAAAAAGTTAAAAGCAAGCAATCTTTAGAACAAACACATGAATGCAAATAATATTTTTCCTTAGCTGGAATGGAAACTCACCTCTTCATATACTTTCTTGGCATTGCTGTTATCGCCTATCAAGAGGTAACCAACACCAAGGTCATTCTTGAATGAAGTATCACTGGGAAACAGCTGAACTAATTTCTGTAGAGTAATCAGGGAACCTCTCATGCGACCTAATTTGATTGAACAAGACTTAATTACAACTACAGATATGAGTAACAACAGTAAGATGCTTACACAACATCTAAGACAACACAAATCAGAGCCAGGTGTTCCACTTTCACTAGGGATCAAGCAGCAGAACTTGAAAAGAACTTGTGCAGATAGGAGTATATTCAGCTGCTTGGTTGCCACTGAAGGTGTAGGTGTACAAGGAATATTTCAGGAAATCACTGCAAATGCATATCATGCAGTGTTATGGTAGCCTCTAGTGGAGAACCGTTCACAGTGTAGCAATAACAACATTATTTAAGCTTCGGTTGCTCTTTCATAGACAGACGTTGAAGTGCTCGACAAAACTAGATAAACATAATCAAGACTAAGTTTATTTTGATAAGTAATTAAATGCATTTCTAATGTTAAGCAATAGTTCCACTGTATTTGCATTATTAAATTAATCATGCTTCATGTGCTAAAAATTAAGTACATTCCTCGACTTCTCAGATGAGGCGTTGCTGAGGAACAGCAAGATCAAAACAAGTTGATACTAAAATCCAGCCCATGGAACAGAACTCTTTTCTCCACCAAAGTTGACTGTGCACTTCTTGTACATCACAGAATTGAGATCTGAACTTTCAAATGTTATCCCTGAGTGCTGTTCCATTCTTCTCTATGTTTACTAAAAATTTATTCTGTGTATGTTTGCTCTGTGTATGCCATTAATTTCCTCATGATTTCTCTCAACTTCAATAGAAAAAAGAACATTTTCTTCTTTCTCTGTCAATAAAATTTTTCAACCACCTACTATCAGAGCTTCTCATACCACCAGTGCACTGTTGTCTACAGGCACTATTATCATACAAGTAATTATATACACTGGTTCCCTAAAAATATTTTAAAGCATTAAAAAATATTTTTTCATAAGCATTTAAGAGATAAGGAACACAAGTCCTGTTGAAAAAGAGCCAATTCCAATGAATCTTTTGAAAGTCTTGCTCACAGAACTTCCATAATTTTTACACTGTCCTCAAATCTTACCAAGAAACTGCTGCCTGTCTGCTTCTCGTTTCAAGCTCAGTTTTACCAGATCTGAAGGGACATTTGGCAGACTAACCACTTCATCATAGGTGTTGATGGCTTTTTGCAGCATCTCATTACTTCTCATTTTCTCAGCTAAGTCATCTTCAGACTAGAAAGAATTAGAAAACCATTATTAGAATACATAATAATCAATTAGTCTTAAAAATAACTTTGCTTTCTTAAAAGGCAAATTATGCAATTGTTAGACTGTGAGAATAATTCTAGAATTATCTTTAATCTGTATAATTTTGGCATAACAAGGAAAACTTACTTGGTTGTGCTTTATGCTAAGGCATATTAGAATTACTGTTAATTCTTGTTTCCTGCAAATTGTTTGAAAGCATAAGTACGAGAAAATTTGAACCTAAAAAATTCATTAACACGTATTTTTGGTTAATATTTGTAGAAGTCATAAATTCTGCTTTTTCAAAGAAATGAGGCAATCTGTTGTAATAACACGGAAGAAATGTAAATCATTGCGTATGGATTATTTGTACACTAAGCCTCACACTGGCAGTAGTACACAGATCAAAACACACCAACAAACATTGTTTTCATATATTCTGACACAGATTTTATTTACACTTGTTCTTGGAAAAATAATTAGGAATTGGCTTTGCTCTTGCATATCTACCTCTTTAGAACTTAAATTCATTCATTAAACTCAGGAGCAGGCCAAAGGATATACCAGATCTCTACTGTGAAATTACTGCTTCAGTGAAGCCAATGGAAGCTACTATTGATTTCACCTGTGGTATGGCACATTCATAATTTGTTTCCGCAGCTGAAAAAAAGATTTCTATATCTCAAATGCTGAATTTTTAAAGTATTACCTTCAATTGTTCATGTGCTTAATGCATTCTTCCCATATATGTCATTATTACTGGTTTAACGATCTTAAGTCAGTTAGCAGAGCAAGGTGTAGGTGCGCTGCAAGCAAATTCACTGTTGTATCGATCAAACACATTAATTGAAATAGCTTCAACTGTGCTAACTGCATATGCTGTAGTATGTAGTTAATACCTGGAATCTTTTTGCACTTCTGTTACTTTTTTCCTTGGGTTACTTTGAAATTGCGTATGGGAAATACCAAACAATATGGTTGCTCAGCCAAACAGTTGATCAGCTGCTTTCAGAGATAACTTCAGAAATCAGTTTTAAGAAACAATTTATTTTCCTGATGTACATTCACCAGGGATTTACTTTTCCTTTTTTTGAGGGAATTGCAGGGCAAAGAACAGTAGAAGATACATAAGCAGAGAGGCAAAAATTGTCAGCATAAAATGTGCATAAATTCATCAGCATAGACACTATAAATAATATAAGGAGGTTTAAGACCTAACTACTGTTCTTTTCAGCCTTAAAGATGCTAACAGTTTCTGTAGACTACTTTTCATCTGGCCTAACTGTAGCTCCAGCAATCAAATCAGGAATTGCTCAAATTTCTGAAAAACACTTCTAATTATGAAACCTTCTGCAGAATTTTGGGGGAAACAGTTGCCTTTTAAAGTTATTAAAAGATCCAGAAAAATGAATACTCATGTCTTATTAGAAACTTACAGCTTTTAGAATCTACAAAATTAGCATGTAATGTTGGTTCATGGTTCACAGAAATGGAGAAGTAAACTCTTGTGCTGAATTCCTGGCCTTTACCCTTACCCTTCTCTGCAGTTTTACCTTTAGTTAGTGCCAAGAGACAACAAATTGCAATGTGTTGTGTTGGTATAAATATCCATTTAAAAGTAATATGTTGCTCCAGTGTTACAATGTTAATCCTAGGAATAATCTGTCTGTCAGTGGAGCCCATGATTTTCCCATTCCTTCGAACAGCTTCAACTCACACATACTGGATTCATTTAATTGTCATTGGTTGTGCTAATATGAGTGTTCAAGCAAAAAGACTTGTATGAGGTTACAATGGCTTCTGAAAATGGAAATTATAGCTGTTTTTATAGATTCACAGAAAGTGTATGCTAATTATGACTTCAGATCTTGGTCTGTAGGACCTTTTAAGCACTACTAAAGTAGTAGGTTGTGACTACAAATTGTTGTAAAGGGACAAATGAAGTTGTGTCACTGGGGGGAATTCTGAATGGGAATAAGCTTCACAGCTAGCTTCAATGATCTGCCCTCCTCCCTAAAAGCAGTGGGCTAATGAGGAGGCAGGAAGCATTGTCTTAGATCTAACGCACAGATTCATAAGAAAGTTTAATATTAAAAGTGTAAGTCAACAGAATTAAGTCCACCACATACATGAACTGCAGTGGTCTCCTGCCGTAAGAAGGCAAATAGTTCAGCAGACCATGCCTCATGCAGAGCACTAAAGTATTAGGGCTGCTGTGTATCAAGTGCTTGTGTGATAGTATTTTGGATAACCATGGCCTTAGTTTTAGCATGACTATTATAAACCAAGTGAAAACCGGTTGTGAGTCCAATTCAAGTGCCTCATTAAGTGAATAACAGCACAATTCCCTGCTACAGTGAGGGTTTCACTTTGCTCATCTTGATTAACAGGAGTTCAAGCAGTCTTTTATTACACTTAGTGCAGTGGGATCATCCTACTATTTATGAAAATACAAGATTACTCTCTTTTGAGACATCCCAACATGGCTCAAAAGTATTATGAATGCAGAGCTTATTTTCCAGTGCTTTCTTTTTTTAGATGACAATACCTGAAACAGAACTTACTCCGCAAGAAAAGGCTAATTAAGCCTCCTTGCCTATGAATTTGGGTTCTTTATCCTTTAACACTCTCTATAAGAACTCCAGATCCTCTTCCCTATTCCCACTGAGCAAAAAGCAGCATTTAGCCCATAGCTGACTGATGTATTGACTTACAAGCTGCAGCAAACAGTAACAAGTTCTGCCTGATGTTCCTGCACTAGGACATTAGTTGGGATTTATCTCTTAGTGTTCATCTGACAGCTTCCATGACATCTGCAGGATGTATCTTATTTTTGTGTCATTTACAATACTTCCAACTAGACTAACGTTAGACAAAAGCTCCCAAAGTAATTGGGGAAGGATAGAGGACTGAAACAGATACAATATGACAGACCACATAATTCTTTTTTACCTTAGGAAGCATCCATAAAATTATAAATGGGAGTCTCACTGGGGTTTAGAACTCTATTGTTAAAAAAGGTTTATTTTATCTTTTTTTAACATTTATGGCTTTTTTTTAGTACCTGTGCTTTCCCGTATCTTGCTCGAGGACTCTGTGGATATTGACTCACTAATGCTTCAAAGGCCCTTAGAGCTTCTTCAACTTTTCCCTGAAAGGTAGAGATATTTATCAGCAATTCTATCTAATAAAAGTGCTGAAGGATGCATGACCTAATAACACATTAGTTTCCCCAATTCAAAACCAAACCAAAACAAATGCTGACTGAATCAACAGTTTTCACTCATTTTTGTTGGGATTGCCTGCTTATTTAAGAGAAATTCACTGTCATTATTTATGAAACAATATTATTCATTTTCCATGGTTAAAATGAACAGCCTTGGTTTTGTTTTACTCACTTTCCCTTTGTTGACTAGAAAAACCACTGAGATGACAGTATCCTGTCTATATCAAAATGTAAAAATTCTATTGCTAATAACAAGATCCAAACAGAATGTGACAAATAGAAAGCAAGTTCTAAACATATCGAGAAATTTCCTCTCTGCACACCTCACATGACCAGCAGTATCTTAACTATAGCTCTTTGAGGGGAAATACTAGACTCATCCATAGTGTATGGCTGTTTTCTCCAAATGTTTTGAGTAACGATGTCCCTCAGGACACCTCACGTGTTCTCTGTGTCTCTTCCCTGTCCCACACAAAGTCCGAATGTAACTATGGTATTCTCATGATTGATGGTGACTAGCAAGTAAGGATGGAAGATGAGAAGAACCAGCTGTACTGTTACATAGGAGCTGAGCACTGCTCGGCAGAATTTGGCGTGAGATCTTGCTGCCGATTCCAACTCTTACAGCTTTATAAATATGAGGGGTTATTAAACACAACTGTCTTGCTATCTTCAAATAATACATATGTCTGATTTGTTTCTAAATTTATCCTGCTTCCTACAAGAGAAGCACATCTGTCTGCAACTCACCACGAGACATAGGAGGAAAAGAGTCAGCCAACTGGCCCTATAGGCTCATCAGAAGTTTCTGTTACGCCTTTCTTTTATCAACCAATCGTTTAAGTAACAAGAAGCATGAAAATGCTTTTTATTTTTGTATTCTAACACATAAATGAGGCTCCTAGAAAAGAACAGCAGCAGTGGCAGCCTGAGGTTAGTGCTCTCTGTAGTAGCCCTTCAGCTCCATCACAGACCTACAGGACTTCTGGGGCTGCATGGATGGCAATGTAAAGCTAAAGCTGCGCAGTCTTCTGAAAATCAAGAATAATCCCACACCTGCAGTGACTAAAATGTTTTTTATTGTACTGCCCTGAAAATAGTATATATCATTGCTCAGTCATCTCAAATCCAGGGTAGAACAAAGACCTGAGTTTGTTCTCCATGGGCTATGGCTATCTGTGAGGCCTACCAGAGTTTTTACGAGATTTACACCCAAAAGACTTTCATTTCTAACAGCCACATAATCTTGCTTCACTATCTACTCTCACGTCTGGAAAAGAGACACCTCTGCCAAGGTCTTGTTTTCTGAAACATTTAAATAAAAGAATAAAATTGAAAGTCACCAGAGGAGATGACTGAAGAGTTTTCGTTTACTGTTGGAGGTGTGTGTTTGTTTGGTTTTCCACAGTCAAGTTATTCAATCCAAAAGTACCAGAACTGATTGATTGCTGTTAAGGTCTTGCTGCCACTGGTGAGGAGCAGGAACATCTGCTTCATGCTGTAAGCAGCTGTACGGGGGCTGACACTCATGGGACACACAGAGAATTTCAGCAGAAGCACTTCCTACAAAGATTTGCACCTAATGCTCACGAAGCATATGAACACCTACCGAGAGATCCGTATTACCTAAGTGCTCTGATAATAGTTGACTTCAGTACTCAAATGGACAACAGTGGTAAGACAAATCTAACCCAGTTCCATGTGATTAATTTAAGCATTTTTTTGATGATATGAATGCAATTTTTAAGTTAACTATTTTCAAGGTTAAAGGTGAGCAAACACATATGAATAGACATATGTTCGTGACTTCAAAAAAATCCAACAGAAACGAAACTTGAAGGACGAGCATGAACCGAATATTTAATTTTAAAAAGTTAATTTCACAGAAAGTAATTTACAAGTAATTTTACCTTTTTCTAAGTTGATTTTTTTAAATTTTACTGTATTTGGTTTTGTCCACTATTTACAGTCCTGACGGAAGCACTCAAAACTTACTTTTTTACGTAACTTTTCAGCAGCATCTATTTCAGCTTTAATGGTCTTATCAAACTTGTTTAAGAGCTTTGGCTTCTTCTTCTTTTTATCTGGAAGAGATTTAAAAATGCACAGTTCATTACTTCTTTTGCATTTCACAGCAATTGCTTGGAGTAACCTTTAGTCAAGACTAGTACTGTGCTGGTAAAGTCTATGTGTTTCAAAATACACTGAAAATAAATTGATTTCTTACTTATTACAATCACAAACTCATGTATGAAAAAGCAATCTTTGGCCACTCAAACTGAATAACTTTGCGGTCAAGTTTTCAATAAAGCATTTTTCATCTCATACAGTCAAGGATTTTTTTTCCAAATGGTTCAATTGACATGGAAGAACAGAAAGAACTGATACATTTCCACATTTATATGGCATTATGAAAACTACCATTACCAGAACATGCTAAAATTTCTGAAGTTTTGACTATGTATGTCTTCTACTCTGCCTAAAACAATTAAGAGTTGATACAAATCAGAAAACAGGTTCGATGCTGAAATGTCTGATCAAGACTGCTTTAAGTGATGAAGTTTCCACAGCTTAGTAAGCCGTCACACAGTAGCAGAGCAGCAGCAACACGTAGCAAACCAGTCTTGAAGTAACTTGTGTAAAGTCAGTTGCGTTTGAGGCAAATAGAAGTAAATTGTGTCAATTTAAACAGTTATTTACTTCGCGGTAGTTCTCTCACACAACGTCTATTTGGTTGCATTAAGGATACAGTTGTTAAAAAATGCAAATACACTACTGGAGATATGACAGCAGATAACTGCTTTTCTCCACATTTGCTATAGCTAAACTTTGCTTTTGCACTTAATTAAACTTTTCTGACAGAAGGGAAATATATATTGGCTGACACAAGTAACTACTAGTTATGTATCTCTGTAATTAGTAGCACATGTTTTTGCTTAAATTATGCATTATTGGTTTTCCCCTCTATGGACAATGTCATTAATAGCATGAAAAGAAATAAAATTGTTATTTTCTTTGTAGAAGTTTAAACAGGGAATGCTGTAACTGGTACGCATAATGCTAAAACGCAAACACCATACAGCTTAACATCACAAGATTGCTGCAATGCTGTAGCAAGCGTTTTGGATAACCACTACAAGGTATTGTAACTAGTCATGTTTCTTTCTGCTTCCCAAGTCCTCAGGTGCACTGTTTAGGGATTACAAGAGCCATCACATGCTACTGGAAGCTGTGCTCATGATTCATTAAATGATACTTTCTCTCTGAGACTCCGATCCTACACAGAGCTTTAGGCAGACGAATCACTTCCTCAGAGAAAGACCAACACCTTAGTTGATGCTAAACCAATCCTAACCCCGTCCAAGCATTAGAGGATCTTGAGTCCAAGCTGCTTCTGTACAAGATAAAAAAAACTTGACCACCTTCGATTTTATCCGTTTAAGACTTTTATTGTCATGTTCAACACTCAACTCTGACAGCTCTGCAGGGAGAGAGTTCTTCTTATGTTACCTTTATAAGCTATTCTGCAGCACTGGTATTCACAGCTAAATAGATGCTATGGCTTTTCAGAGGTGTGGGGGGGAAATACAAATTAAGCAGGACGGAAGTTATCCTACTCAATTCCATTTAGTTATTCACAAAGGTCATATGAAGCTTTAAATATAAAAATGTCTTAAGATCTATAAAGGAAAGGCACAAAAAAGCAGTGCATTTGGATTATTACATCCCTGTTGATCCTTCTTATAACAGAAGTGACTGTAGGCATTAGCTACCAAGGAGGTAAGAAGGAAAAAACCAGTCTGACATACAGGAGTTTACTCCTTTTTCAGGATCAACCACAAAATAGCATACTTTTAATATATTGGCTTTGCTCCCCTAAATGCTTCAGGGTTTCTTTGCACCCTATGACTTTAAACCAAGCATTTATACCCAAGCACCCAATAATGCACTTCAGGATTGTAGTTATCATGGAACTGAACTGACCAAAGAGATGCTTTTTTTTTTTTTTTAATGTAATAATATAGGTGGTTTCCATGTCTTTTGTTCATTCCCCATAGATAACATAGTAGAAATGCATTTCAGTCCATGGCCAGCTCCACGCTCGCTACTTCTCACTTTAATATTAGCCACTTCATAGGAAAGCCACATCTTCACTGCCTTTTCATGGAACTAATCATAGAATCATAGAATCATAGAATCGCTTTGGTTGGAAAAGACCTTTAAGATCATCGAGTCCAACCGTTAACCTAACCCTGCCATCCCACCACTAAATGATGCTAATGATTAAGAAGCACAGCACTGGCTCTGTTCCGAGTGTTCATACCCCTTGAATCCAGCAGAACTCACAGAACCAGCTCTCATCATGAGAGCCAGGATCCTTCCACCCCAGACCTTGAGTCCACAGTGACTAACAGGTATGGACAGAGGTTTCTGACATAACACTACTGGGCCTGAAAAGAACAATACATAACATGCTACAGGTTTGTTGGATTTTGCAGTTTTTGTATTTTCTTTTCTGAAAATATGTCAGCTCACTTTTTCAAGAAACCATTGCTATTTCTAAGGCCTGGCTTGCTCAGCAGTAGATGTGAATGAACCCAGAAGCATCAGCCCAAGGACCCAATACATGCAAGTGTCCCTGAGGACTTTGTAAGCTGGTTGAGCTCACAGCTGCTACATGAAAGTGTCATTTGTTGTCAGCTGGAAAACTGAGGAATGTCAGTTCCGCTGGGTACATGATCTTGGGAGCTTCCAGCTGGACATCATCACTTCAGTTTCTTCCTGTGCTTTAAGTAGTAGGCTATACATACAAGAAGTGATGTCAATTCTCAATTCCTATGGCATGAAGGAAAATCTTTATTTAAGACTGTCCAGTTACACAGAAACTGTGTATTTAGTAAGAGAGAATGGCTATTTGTCAGCTTTTGAACTTTCAGTACACATGGAAAGACGCAGTCATTTGATCCTTCTCAAACTTGCTAAGCATGACAACAGCGAGGTTCCTTCAAGGCCATGGAAAGAAGCTTTCCCACCCACCAAGAAACTCTTACTGCCTGTGGGATACAATTCCTTTGAGTTTACAAGAAGAGACAGAAACAGCTCACAAAAAAGAGTGAATGAAAATCTTACAAGTCTGTGGCACAAAGATATGACATCTTTCCCCTCATATCTGACTTTGGTGATGCGTTGGAAGAACCTTATTGCCACCCTCCATTACAAAAAGGTATTATCTTCCCATTTTCAGTACAATTATATATCAGCTCTAGACCAGCAGGAGATCAACATGAAAAGCTGGAAAGGAGCTGTTAACATAAATATTATTCAGCTGCTAGGCACCAATATAACACAGTAAACATTATATAATGAGCAATCATTTTAATCTCCCATTCAGCTCCTACGTTAAAGGATTCACCAGGGAGCTTTCAGTGTAACCATCAAGCATTCCTCTATATTAACCAGATAGCCTGCTATCTCCCTGCAGGGGTATTTTAATAAATTATCCATTGCCTCCTTCTAGTGTAATAATCTTTTAGCAGATGTGACCCAATATATTAAATTCAATGTTACAAAGAAGTTAACTTATCTGTTTTCAGAGGGAAAAACCATGTAATTTTTCTTCACTGACTTACAGATTTCACCATGTAGCTCAAGTAATGCACGATCACACAACTGCTAGAGTGATTTGTAGTCTAAATCTGGTTGAGCATTAAAATGGTAATAATTCTTTTATATATCATATTATGGTCTTAGAAGAGTAATACTGAGGATTTTCAATAACGGCCTTGGATGTAAGGAGAGGCTTTCTGTCTAGGAATGCTGAAGACTCCCTCAGAGAAAAGAGTTTCCACTGTCAAAGCAGCAAGCTAGGAAGAAGTCTTACAAGAAACGCCATGCTAGTTCTTTCTGTTGGAGAATAAAAAATGGCCAGTGATAACAAGCAATCCCATATCTCCCTTCCGTACGAAGATACAGAAGAGAAGGTAAAAAAACCCCAAATCAAGAAGGAAAATATTTTGGAAGTGGTAATGTATACATTTAAACAACAGCCTGCAATGTCATCCAATAAAAGATGAACAAACAGCTATTTTATATACCTATTTTGGCATAAGAAAACTAAAATACCAGGCATATTTTATGTTTTTATGTTGAAAGGCACCTTGTCATCACGAAAAGCTGTGACAGCCTTTTTCTATAAAGGACAGACAAATACCTTTTGAAAAATATTGAAGCCCCTGTGAAACACTCTTCAGACCACAAGAGCACCACGTGAAAGATATGGAAAAGTAACCAAATGATTAAAGGTGATTAAATCACTTACTTTTGAAGAACGGGTTAAAAATATTTTGTCTTCCATTGTCGGGATGGGGGGGTAGCATTTACACCCAAATAAGCAAGAACAAAGGGGAAAAAGGTAGTAGTAAAGTGTTTGCCCCTGAAAGAGGCAAAGCTACAGAGATGAAAAGCATAAATTATTTTCTATACCGCCATAGTCAGGACAAGGAATAAAAGGCTTAAAATTGCTACAACAGAAAATTTGGCTTGAACATCTGGAACTAGTATCTCTGAGCAAGCACAGTAGAACATGTTGCTGAGGATACTTGTGGTATTCTGATTACTAGAAATTACTAAGAACAATTTGTATAAGCATCTGTCAGGAATGATGCACACAGTTGATAGAATCATAGAATCACTTTGGTTGGAAAAGACCTTTGAGATCATCGAGTCCAACCTTTAAACTAACCCTGACATCCCACCACTAAACCATGTCCCTAAGCACCTCATCTATCCTTCTTTTAAATACCTCCAGGGAGGAGGACTCGACCCCCTCCCTGGGCAGCCCATTCCAGAGCCTGACAACCCTTTCGGTGAAGAAGTTTTTCCTAATGGCTAGCCTAAACCTGCCCTGGCGCAGCTTCAAACCATTCCCCCTCATCCTATCATCTGTTACCAGGGAGAAGAGGCCAACCCCCACCTCACTACAGCCTCCTGTCAGGCAGTTGTAGAGGGCGATCAGGTCTCCCCTCAGCCTCCTCTTCTCCAGACTAAATAATCCCAGTGCCCTCAGCCGCTCCTCATATGACTT